CACAAACTACAAAAGCAGATATTTTGCATGCACAGCGGGCAGTCGGCTGTGTTGCGCACTCGGCAGTTACGTAGCCATCTCCGTCTGAATCAAAGATGCCAAATGCAGTCTTAAAGCAGTTTGCCTGCGCTTCTGTTATCTTGTACACGACTCCATCTATTTTCGCCATTGTTTAAGTTGGAAACCACTAGGGAATTCAGGAAGCATCCGCTGTTCGTAAGTGTGCGTCAAATACTATGGGGAAGGAACTAGATGCCTGCAAAGAGACGGAGCAGCAACTCAGCACTGCTCCACTCATATAACTATGGCTGATGCTCCGGCTACTGTGTAACTTAATGCCTGTTGGCTGAGGCAAGCAAACGGCAAGCGCGACAGAGGAAAGTTCGAGCGCATGACGGGAGAAACAGGTTGCTCCCCAAGATTATTTCCCCATCTCCATTAAGGTGCAGCGGCAAGCAACGAACATGTTGGAGGTTGTGTCATTACTCATTTCACAAAGCGTGCCTTCTTAGCAGTTTCGAAAATGCATCGGACCGGTGCAACGGTGGATGCCCCCGACACGTAGACGAATTGTCAGCTAACTTTTAAGCCTAAGCAGCAATATACACCATACTTCAGTCTTCTGCAGTCCATCTTCTCTATTGTTCAATTTCAGTTAGGAATTGCCGGTGAGCCCCAAGGAAAGCGTTGGCTGGGCTGGTGGGCCTGCCCGTGGCGGCGGCTTCCGTTACCACGAGGTGGGCTGTAGCTTCGTTTTTGTCGTGGGTTTGTGGCTTCGGATGTATGAAACAGGGTCAACACTAAGTGGGTGACAAAACAGTTCTGGTTCTTAGCAACCTCGCTCTGTTGTTGTAGCTGACCCAGCTGCTGCAGTACCAGCAACGACGGGGAGTAGCGGCAGCCTGGTGTTGAAAGCGACACATCAATTTCTCTGAACTCAGAGCCTTGTTGTTACTTCTCCGTCACCTTATACATTTCATCTGGATTACTGGAGCGAGAGCTGGAACGGGGACCGTGGAACGCCGGCCGCGGGCACTCCCCCGGTGGCCGACTGCCCTGCGGTGTGCAGGAGGCTCTTCTGCTCTCCCAGCCCACACACTCCATATATATATGCCAGGATTGGTATATTTGGCCTTTTGCGAGCTACTGCAATAGCAGGCTCGGCGTGCTACGCTCCAAGCAACCCATGCAAGGCATCGTCGGCATGCAAGGGGGACTCACGGGTGTCTAGACGCTGCTTTTAATCTTGTGACCATGTGGGGCAGAATCGTCAGCAGCGTCAGCAACGCGCTTGATTTCAATCAAGCCACGCTTAGCGGATGTATTGACATCATCTGCGTGCGGAATCCACACACAGGCGAGCTGCACTCTACCCCGTTCCATGTTCGGTTCGGCAAGGCCAAACTGCTGCGGTCGAGGGAAAAAATAGTTTCTGTAGCTGTTAACAACAAGCCCACTGCCCTTGTTATGAAATTGGGGGCCGCGGGGGAAGCATATTTCATGCAAGAGGTTGAGGACAGCATAGGTGTTGCAGAAGAGGACCTTGCAAGCCCACTATCATCTCCTGTGCATTCACCTAGGCGTAGCTGTGGCCTATCAACCGACACGTCTATCGCACCTGCACCACAGGACTCGAGCTCCCTCCCTCCTTCCCACCCAGCCCAGGGGGCAACTCTTTCGACGGCGGCCTCGGCAGTCGCGGCAGATACCCGTAGGCCTGGGGAAACCCAAACGGGGCCAGATCTCACAAGAGGCACGAATGGGTTGTCTCCGTCATTGGGCTCTGATGGGCCGATTCCGAAGGGCGCTCCCGCTGCATCTGTGACAACTCAAGACGCCTCTTCCACCTGGAGATCTGCATGGGGAACTGCAGCCAGATATGAAGGTAGCACAGCAGGCTTGATGGAAGGAAGCCCTTCCGGCTCTCTTCCTGAGGGAACCTTGGGACGACAAGCAGAGGAAGGTCGCGCTGCTGTGCAGTTCTCCCTCTGCGGTCATGTTTTGTTCGGCACAGCAGACGAAGCCCAGCACGACGCTGACGTGTTTGAGGCAAACCTTGTTACCTGGGAAACCCTCGATGAGAACCCATCTCTGTGGTACCACCCTTCGCTTGTGGCTTGCTTCGAAAGAACCCCTCCGTACTATCCGGCGAAAGTGGCCCTGCCGCTTCTGGCAAGCTGGCTGCTATTCAATCGCCCCCTTTCGCTCGACAGCGTGAAAAGACTCATGACAGCAGACATCACCTACACTGACAGAGAGGGTGCTACATGGGCCCCGTGGCAAACAGACGGTGTNGAGGTGCTTTGTTGCGTGCTTAGCGCCTATGAAAGCTTTACACAGGGTTGTAATATCACTTTCCACTGCCACTGTTCGGGAGTTGCAGTCCCCGCGAGGTGAGCCCTCTAACGCTGCTGTTTTTGTATGCATGTCGATGTCCTCCAAAAGGTGCAACTTTCAGCAGCGGAGTCAACAGTGACAGTGAATCGCCCGCCTTCGCAGCGAACAGGGAGGCATCTACTGGGAAAAGGCTCCGGCGGTCTCTAAGGCCAACTCCGCAGCAGTTGGTGAGGCCTTTTGCTTCTGGCATTCAGCCGCATTGTTTAGTACAGCGCCAGCGCGAGAGTTGGCGGCCAACAGCGGCACCTTTGTGGTTCGATGGAGTAACTGACACTGCTAGATGAGGCCGCTGAGCGCTTGCGTGTTGACCTCTGTTTTTTTTTGCTCTATTTGAACAGGAGTCGCTGGACTTGAAGCCTGGGGCCAACAGCGTGTGTTTCACTGTCAGCTCTGCTCTCCAGGGCGAGAAGAGCGTCTGCGGAACAATATATCTTTGGCCTACAGACATCAAAATCGTGGTATCGGATGTAGATGGCACCATTACACGGTACGCGCTGCTGCAGATTCTACGGGAGTTGCAGGAGCAGTAAAGTGTTTCCTGACATGTTGCCCTCCGCCGTTGCAATGACATTTTGTTGCTTTTATTCCTCATTTCTCACTGCAAATACTTACGACCCGTTGCGACCTTTAGGTCAGATGTTCTTGGACAGCTGATGCCCATCGTGGGGAGAGACTGGTCACACACAGGCGTAGCAGAACTTTTTACGAAAATCAAAAAAAGCGGATATCTTATTCTCTATCTCACTGCTCGGGCTATCGGGCAGGCCGACGCCACCCGCGACTACCTTTTCGGGCTGACGCAGAAGGAAAGAGACAAGCTTCCAGGTCAGTCATGGGCTGGTGCTGCTAACCTGCGTGATCTTGGCGGATTCAGCGCTGCAGGGCGCTCCGCCGCCTTGTTTGGAGAATACTTCATTCTGGTCCCTGTTTCCGTGCGCCCATACTACATGTGTAGGCGTATTCGACTGCGCACAGATGTTTAACGGGTTTCTCTCAGCGGGCTTCAGTTCCGTGGCACCTAGTGCTCGACTTTGGCTGTTTGCACCTCTTTCGCTTTCTGCCATTGATTTATTACAGATGGGCCTTTGATACTCAGCCCTGACCGCCTGTTTCCTTCTTTTCGCCGCGAAGTAATAGACAGGAAGCCGTATATTTTTAAAATCGCAGCTCTAAGGGACATTCGCAGCCTCTTCCCGGCGAACAGGAATCCCTTCTATGCTGGCTTTGGCAACAGAGAGTCGGTAGGTCGTTCGTCCATGAAGAAGCGAAGCCATGCATTGTTCGTTATCATGCATAGTGGCGAGGAATCCTGTTACATGGTGCGGCGTCGACTGGTATTGCTATGAACATGTGAGCCGTTTGTTTATCTCAGGACCACCGGGCGTACATCCATGTGGGCATCCCGGAGGCGAAGATTTTCATCATCGACACAGCAGGCGTTATTCACCACATCAGCAACTCTACATACGCGCGAACGTGAGTGAACAGTACAGCACGCTCTCTTGCCTGTTCAATACAGTCTGGGGTGCTTTAGCTGTGCGGGGTGCATCTGCTGTTTTGTGGATGATGCTGCTCCGCATTCTGCGGTGATGATGTTTGTCTCGCTGGCCAGTGATGGAGCCTGTGTTTTAGCTGCAATATCCGTTGCTGTTGCTGTGCATGTGGGTTCTGCAGCTACGAAACGATGAGTGAGATTGCTGACCACATGTTTCCGCCTTTAAAGAATTCGCCGGTGTCACGGGGACAGCCAGGACAGGAGCTTGAGGAAAGAGAAGAGGAAGAGGTTAGGCAGCGCAAGAGGCTTCAGTACATACTACACGTAGACAAGCAAGATGACAACTGGGCTTCTCCTACTGCCGTCTGCTGTAGCGGCTGTAATGAGGAACCGCACCAAATTACTCTTTAGATAAAAGTGCAGTTATAGTAGCTTCGCGGTAGAAACCACCTCGAACTGAGACGCTCCCTTGGTCTCCTGGAGAGTGGAGATGATGTTTTCTCGAGAAGGGTGTATTATACTTTTAAAGTGGTTTTTTGCATCAGCTTGCCATGGGTTGGCTCAACTTGCCAAGGGGGCTCCTGAGCGTTTGACTTCATCTCGTTGCCCTCGCCCTCGAGGCAAAGATACCATGTGCACGTTCGTTCTATTGTAGCTATTTTTTGACTGAGGGAATGGTTGATATCTCTCTTCCCCTCCACCAACAGTTAGAGGAAGAAGGAGTTGTCGCCATTTCCTGTGGATTCGTTTGTTGTTTCAAGCCCCTGGGTGAAGCATTATTAAATTCTTTCTTCAACATCCACCCTTTCACTTCATTACGACTTACCCATATAGCGGTAAGCTGGGTGGGATTTGTGTTGATGTCGCCCGACATGAGTGATGAGCAAAGCGGCCCTTCGTTTCTCGAGAGACTCTGAAGGGTTCCTGCTGGTGAACTTTTGTTGCGAAGGGCGACTCGCTCTTGTGGTCGCAGCGGCCTCCTTGGAGCTCTTTGAACTGATACATATTTACCACAAGTGCATGTGCTAGTATCTATATTCGTGGTTTTTGTCTTCTTTGTCGGTTTCTTAGCTGCCTTGGCGGATAGGGATCCTAGCGACTCAGCGTGAAGAGAAGCTGAAGCGCAGGGGCGAATGCACCATCGCGCAACGATCCAGCTTACCTGAGGATGACGCGTTAGATCCTGTTACCACCCTCCGGAGAAGCTCATGCCGGCTGGGGCATATGCAGCTAAGCATAACTGCAACGTTTCCAGTAGCTGCAGCTGGAGCAGCTAGCATACATCTGTGGTAGTGAGGGCTAATTGGCTGTAGGCCCTTTCGGGGCTAGGGGTACTTCCATGACGACCCCTGTGAGTGACAATGAGGCGCGATATGCGCTATTTAAGGATGCAGCCGCAGCCTGTCTCCCTGTCTTTCTGTTTCTTGCTGTCGCCTCCTGCGTAGAGCTGCAACCTGAGCAGCCCCACCCGCGAAGTCTTGCAGCACAGCAAGATGCCAGGGCGGGTTGGTGGGAGTGCTATACCAGCAATTAACGCGTTCCAGCTCGCATGCGCTTCAAACTGAAAGCTTGCTCATGCGTGCTGCTTGGGTGTGAGTTGCCTTTTTTCCTTGGGGCTGGTAGTTGCTCGGGAACAAAACCCTCTTTAGACACATGACATTCCTTGCCGTGCTCAGGAGAGCTAGCGGAATCCATTTTCTTGCTAGTAGAATTCGGTCAAAGTTTAGTAGCTCACTGCCACTGTTGCAGTTGCTTATTTGTACTGTTGCGTACAACGCATGCATTTGTGGCAGGAGTTGTGTGGAGCGTGTTTACAGTTCAATGCATTCAATTATTGGTCTGTGGCTTTCGAGCCGCACAATGAATACGGAGAGAGCGAAGGTGGCCTCTCAGACGAAGAAGAGGATTCCTCTGTTCCAGTTACTTCAGCGACTGGCACTGCAGTGCTGCCAGAGAGCCACACCCAGCAGGCTTCGGCGTGTGTACAGTTGCCGGCGTCTCAGAAGTCAGGGAAGCGAACGCTTGCCCTGAACTATTATTTCGGGCTCGATCAGGCAGAAGGAAGCCGCCCGTCTCTTCCAGCAACTCACGCAGCCACCGCAATGGCTAGCCTCGGAGCCTCCAGCGCAGCCGGCGATACCAGCAGTCCTTCGGACTCCAGCGAAGACCCGTTTGACGGGCTCAGCAGCAGCAGCAGCAACAGCAGCAACAGCAGCAGCAGCAGTAGCAGCAGCAGTAGCAGTTACAACTACTTCAGGGGTCCACAACTGGAAGCTTGCGCTTCAGTTGGAATTGCCTCGGAGCCTACGGAATGCATTCGCCGTTCGGCATCTGAGGGGGCTGAACTTGCATCGCTGGACAGATCAGAGGGAGACAACAGTTGCCCTGAAAAGCAACAGCAACGGCCGTCGACGGCAAATGCACCTGGTAGGCTGTCGCTGCCTTCCGTTGTTTCCATTTCGAGTTTTAGACTGGGTCCGCTCGGTTTTCGGCGGGCCAAAAGTGCAACAGCTGATGCGCCTGCAATGCAGGAAGATACTGCAGCAGCTAGAGCCGGTGCTTCCCCGTCTGAAGCCCTCACCAAACCTGCTGCTGCAGTGGTGGATGCTGCCTGCTCGGGCAGCCATGCTGACGTTGAAGGCCACCTGCCAACTGTGCACCCGAAAAAGCAACTTCCCTTGGATGCGTTTTCACAGTCATCCCCCCAAGCCAAAGGCGCTTCGGTTGCTGTACCAACGGAGTCTCGGCATGTGCTGCAGCCGTTGGGTCCCGGTTTCCGTTCAGCCGCAGCATTGGAGCTTCAGGTTGGCGAGGCGGAGGAGGCTGGCGCATCAATGCAAGCAAGAGCAAGAACGAGTGATGTTACAAGCGCCCCTTCTGGAGGGTCCCTCCTAGCAGGGAGGTCCGAGCAGCATATACGCTTGAAGGACAAGCATGTTTCTGCAGACAGCTGCAGAAGCCCCTCCAAGGTGTTGCCTGCAGCTCGCTCAAGTGGCAGTGGATCCATCTCCCCTTACCAGAATCGCAGAAGTAACAGCGAAGATGTTGTATCAGCTTACTCTCCTCTCAGAACTGGGGTGGGTGGAGCTACCTTTTTTAGAGTCCAAACCGAAGGAGGTGGGCCATATATGCAGACGGTTGGTGCGATTCACGCCGGCTCGTCTGCTTTTCGCCGAAACCGGGCACTGACCCACTTCACTAGTGCCAGGTTTGAAGCTGGACCGACGCCGGCTAGTGCTGTTGCTCCACCAAGCTCTGCAACACGCCCTTGGTTGGCACGGAGCACCCGTGAAATGCATGTGTGCAGCAGCACGAGTGCGATGCTCATGGCACTAGCTCAGGAGACACCTGAGCGCGTTCAGTCTCCTGAGAGCCCCAAAGCGGGCATACCGAGGAGCTCGTTCAGCGCAGCGTTTGCTGCAGCAGGAGCAGCGGCCAAGGCTGGAGAGCTTGCAGCACGAGCAGCTGCAGGGATTCGCGCGCCAACGGCGGGAGCCACCGACGGCTTTGGGTCGTATTCTTCATTCGAATCAACCGACCCTCTAACCAGCCGCTGTGATTCCTTTGCCTCCGCAGCCAGCCGCACTCGGAACGACGACGAAGCAAACGTACAGTGCACACGGCAGCATCAAAACCAGAAGAAGGAAAAGGGCGCAATGGATGAAGAGTGTCAGCAGGTAGGAGATCGCACTGCTGGCATCTTCGCTGCGCCACGGACCGAGGCTTGTGATTCCCCATTACCGGGTAGCTCCAAGGAATCGGACGCAGCATCTCCCCCATCCAGTCGTTAAGTGCGAGCTAGGAGAGGCAGGGATAGGCGGCCTAGCTGTTCCTTTCTGCATTTCCTAGTAGCGAAAACCTGCAGCTTGTGCCCAACGGATGTTTATCTCTTTTTTTTTTGTTTTGCCACTGCATTTGCCCATGCTACCCAGTAGCACCGATGGCTAGACGCACAGTACTAGCCTTTCACTTCTGCAGAACTCTTGACCCAATAATTTCTTGTTGTCATGGCACCAGCTCTTTCAGTCGTGCCGCACAGGTGCTCTGCACTTGCAGGAGCCTCGTTCTCCCGAACAGCTGAGTGCTGCCTTCGGTTACTGCCGGCGACAGTTGCTCGCCTAAATTTCAGTTGCTCCGCAGGATTTGTAGCGTCGAGCGGACCGCTGACGTGCAGGCCTTCCATGCCAACCGAGGGAAGTTTGGTCCCCCGCAGTGTGGAGCAAGGGGTTTTGGGGGGGGGGAAATTTGAACGTGATCGATATTCCATGAGTTCGCGACACCGGCGGCTGTTTCACGGACTTCAATCCTTCTACAGATTGTGGTAAAACTGTCAGAGGAATGCAAGAGTCAGTGGTTCTGTTTATATGGAAGAGAGCCACTGACCTTGGGACACTGCTTTGTTGGTCAATCTGATGCAAAGCCCGTAGTTGTGATATGACCCATATTTGCTCCGGCACCTGCGGCTCGTTCTAGCTCTTGTAAATGAAATGGCATTTGGCCGACTCTTGTCCGCCCCCATCAGGAATGCTAGAGCAGAGTGTAGTTTTTTGAACGCAATTGAGTACTCTTACTTTAAACGGACGTGCCCCAACCAGATACTATAAATCATCGCATAACCAAGCCGCGGACCTTGGGGAACTGCGCCTGTGGAGCTTGACCGTCTGCACGGGAGTCAGGTAACAAACATGCATTATTAGTTGCGCGTTTTCGCCTTGCTGCATTTTGTGCGCAGTTCAGGAACACTGCATGCACCATTCTGCATGGCTTCTTAGCAAACACGCGGCATGATTACTTAAGAAATAGGAACGACCTTCTGGATAGCTGCGCAGCTAGGAACCCTGCAAATGCAGTTCATACTGAAGAGCTCAGAGAGGGGACTCGCCTGGTTGGTGCGCCAACACAGCACGCGATCCTACAGCGCTCGCGTGGCGAGACGAAGGAAGCATTCGGGAGTGGAACGCTGCTCCTGCTTGCTGTCCTACCACCTGCGATAGGCAACATATATATATATATATATATATATATATATATATATATATATATATATATATATATATATATATATATACGTTGCGAATGGAACCCGTGAAAAAAGCTTGTTCCTTAGAGACAGCAAGTTAGGGGACGACAGTAGTCTCTTTATTTTGTATGCGAACCTCTACATCGGGGCTCTGAGGAAGACATGGGTATTCCTTGAAGTATCGTTTCTTAACATATTCCAGTGCTTTCTCAACGGCGTCGGCCGCACTGCATACCCAAACCAAAAAGCGGGGAGCGGCGAAGTTTGGACTCTACCTGAAGAGCATGTTCTAGGAGTGACGGGGCACGGGTTTACTAACGGCTTACCGGGAATCGGAATGGGAGCGACCAGATATTGGACAGCTTTCTCGAGCGACAGAAAATGGCGTCTCCGCTACAGAGTCAGCCCGCATCCTGTTCACGCCAAGCATCCCTTCAGAAACAGCAGCAGTCCCTGCCACATATTCTGATATAGATATGCTCAAACCCGTTAACGTTCAAGGAAGAAAGCAGGCGCAACCTATTCATGCACCGACAGGCTGAGTCAAACGCCTACCGCACGGAAGTTCCATGGCTGCTACTGCTGCTTCCCCCTTTAGGCCGTCGTTTCGTTGAAAGTGCGCGAGAGGCAGCTCCATGAATGAACCTAATTGTAACATCGTTGGATACAACATGCTACACAAGTCCCTGTGAAACGCACTAGAACGAAACTAATAGGCCCAAAGGAGCCCATCGGCCGGGTGGCAGGCCTCCCTAAAGGTGAATATCCTTTACGGACACGGTGGAGCCTACATTCCGTTTCCCGTGAGCTCCGAATTTGGTATTATCCACTCGCCTTGAACCTCGTCCCAGGAAGCGACCGTGCGGATTCGCTGCAGATTTTCACCCATGCCCTCACACGAGCGTTTATAAGAAGCAGCTGATCGTTTTGTGTAGTATAAGCTGTCATCTGAAAATTTAATACTTACGGTTGCCTCCTCAGGAGGAATGAAACGATCTATTATGGCTTGTTGCAAGCGCATCTCGAGCTCCATTGACCGTATATCGTGCAGGAGAGACTCTCTCTCGGCTTGAAACTCCTTTTGCAGGTCTTCAATGTCATCAACGACTTCAGTATAGCGTCTGCAAAGCTCTTGCACTTTGCTGGACAAGTGGCTCAGTTCCTTGTCTTTGGAGGTCACCAGGCTTTCAAGCAGTAGCCGGGCTTCTGTGCCTTGATCTCGCTCTCTACGGAGCTGCTCCTCTGCATTGCAATGTCGTCAAACATGGTGTGCACGGACACGCAGACCATCTCCAATTCAAGAGTCGTCTTTTAAACATACTCCTCGTAGGAACTAGAAAATCAGCCTCACCCATCTTCTTCTGTTCTTCTAATCGAAGCTGCGTCCTCTTCAACTCCCGCTGCTGCTGTTTGGCTTTGGAAACTTCCGCATTACCTCGCAAAAGTTGCGCCTCCATGTTTTGCAGGCGGATCGCCAGCTCAGCCTTGTGCTACAAAATCACCACCATTTGACAGGTGCATATTGACCCCATTTGATTTGAACGCCTGCTTTTCAGGAACTCCTTTTGGTTCAAATGCGTAATTCCACCCACCTGTTCATACATTGCCACCTCGACCTCCTTCGCCTTCAGGTCTTCTTCTGCCTTTCTTCGTGCCATTTCGATAGCCTGCATATCAGTGGAGATGTCGTGTGGAAACGGCATTGGAGAGAGTCCGTCTGAACGAGTTAGCATTTGCCTAAGCTAGCTTAGTCAGGGGCATGTAAACGCAGTTACTATCTGGCCTTCAGTGTTGCAGTGATTGAAGGATTACATTTTTTTCCGTTTCAAAAGTAGCTCGAAGGTGACGCTGCTGCTCCAGATTCTGTTCTTCCAGCTTGCGCCTCTCTTCTTCTGAGACATCTACTATTTTGATTTTTTCAACGATCTTCTCCACTACTGTTGGCTTTTCGACGATGACTGGCTTCTCAACAACAACTTCCTTCAGATGTTGAACAGGGTTATTAAGCGCCTGGAGCCTCGCCTCTATAAAGAAAATCGTCTATCGCACCACGTTAAGAGAACCTACCTTCTCGTATCCACTAAAGCTGTCCTGGTTGCAAGTATTAAGTGAACTGACGTTAGCAGCCTGGCTTTTACTAAACAGGGCAATACACTGGGAAGTTTTGGGAGACGCACCCTCCGCCGCTTGGAGCTGCTGCTTCAGCCGAGCGATTTCTTCCTGGAACGCCAAAATCACTGCCTGCTTCGGATCTTCGTTAACATGCGGGGCATTCTTAATGTGCTTTGTTCGCTGTGCATATCGGAGCGTGCTCAGAGTCTCGTCGTAGTGGACGCATGCAGGTCCGACGTTGGCCACCATGGCAGTCCTCGTGTTCCCGCCTAATGAGGCCTGAAATGTTCCCAGCAAAAGATATTGGAGCCCTTGATAGTCGCCCAGAGCCACAGCGGTCAATGAATACCAATCAGTATATAGGGGAAGCAACTGGTGCGGTACCTGTAGGATCCGTGTCAGTTTCGAATCGCGGTACGGAATGAAGGGCGACTGTTCCGCCAAGGCGGAAATAACATTTCCCAAGGCGCTCAGAGATAAATTGATCTTCATAGCTTCCCTAAACCGTTCGCCTACAGATCCAGCTTTACTCTGCCTGCAACATAGGCATGCAACAATATGCTCCTCTATATTTGCCTTGGCAAGCAAACATAGCCCAGTTTTACAAACACCTGTGTCCACGTTCGTCAGGAACATGAAAAGCCACTAACGTTACCTTTCTGAGCCGGCAAGATCCACAAGATTCAACTTCCCCATGCGCACGCGCCCTTCTTTGTCTGCGCTCTCAACTGCTAGCGTGAAGATGGAGTGGGACCTGTGAGAAATCCGAAAGCTACCGGCAAACAGAGTTCAAACGCCGATTGTGCAGTAAATCTCTACAGGGGCCATGTTTAATAGACATTACTTATCCATTTGCAAAGTAGCTGAAGTGCACAGTAGTTAATATAGCGAATCTGTAGGCTTAGATATCTTACCTGCTTGAGACAGCGTTCATTAATGTGGCGCCCACCTTTCGGTTGCGCTGTCCCGTTGCCTAATCCATTAAAGAACAGCACAAAAGCAAATGCTCGTTTAGAAATAGCTGTGTAGGAGCACTGAGTTAGGCGCAAATGAGTCGGGAAGTGCCTGGTGCCGTTACCCTAGTCGACCACCTCACTTAAGTGTTTTGATTAGTACTTATTATAACGGCTCAGAATAAGACCTAAATACTAAAGCATGCAGTATTACTGTGCTCGATATCACTGATTTGAGCAGCGTGTTCGCAGCGTGGAAGAGTCCGTATATGCGCCTTCTTTACCAGGAGCTTCGCCAGTTCTTCAGCGGACTTCACCGCAAAAGCACTGAGGCCTTCAGCAAAAACGCCGCTTTCGGGATTGTCCCTCAGGTTCAGCTTTGCGGTGTGGGTCTTTGAAAGCAGATCTCGAGCCTGTGGTTGGAGCAGTTTGCCGTCTTTCGGGACATGTTGCATATGCTTCGTGTGATGCGAAGGCCTAGTGTGGTCCTAACCTGCGGGGCTAATCCGATGTAGGCAAACGCAGCAGCTCACCTCTTCGTTGTACAGTTCTAGAAAGGAAGCTCGCACTAAAAACGTCTGAAAAAGGACACATAGGAGACTTTTGGAGCGTTTACGCAGTCTAGAATTGTCAGCGATTGCCAGGGAAAGTAACGGAATTGTACGTTGTAGGCTTAGAGAAGGAATGCAGAGAAAGTGCACTTTCCTTGTCAGATGCACAGGCAATAGTGCTGAAGATGTGTTCAAATGCGCGAGGAATTATGCCTTGCAAGTCGCCGTCCCCTCCTATCATCGTATATGTCTTCCCTGTGCCGGTTTGCCCGTAGGCAAACACAGTGCCTGAGAAGCTGGCGCCCGCAAGTACTGTCCCCCTTCATTTTCAAGTCTACAGTTCACCATAGAGGGATATTAGCCCCATCCTAGCATTGACTGTAGACTATAGCGCTACACGAACACTCCTTTCAAGCAACTCCGTTTAACAGTGCATTCAAACGCAAGCGGTCTCCAGTCAGTTGGGTTCTGTGGGTCTTTGTGTGCAGCATGCACCGTTGTATCCCTCGGTGACACTTTCAACAATGCCGTAGGCCGCGTCTTCATAAACGCCTTCCTGAGACACGCTGTTCGAAAACACCCCGGCAAACGGCTTCTTGCAAGCTCTAGGAGCGGTTTGGTTGTTTACAGCTGCAAGACTCGTGCGCTTGTCCGTTCACTCAAAGGTGTCACTGCTACGCGGACTTGTGCTGGCACAACTCACGACTCATCGTAAACTGCGTCAAAGCTAAAATGCTTCGCTGGACCGTTCGGCTTCTGGAGGCAAACAGACGCGTTCTTGCTGTTCACTGTCAGCACGGATTTGCGGCCTTCGCTGACCTCCGCCTCAGAAAGCGGGCGACAGCTGAAGTAAAAACAGGGACAGTATAGTTCCTACCTAGTGCCACTGCACCAAACCAACTACACCTGTAGCGTGGGACGACCAGCGTTGCTGCAGTTACCTTCCGGGCTACAAGCACTGTATGTCTCCACTCCTTGCAGCTCGTCTAGCCACCCCTGCTATGTGCACAATTATATGATGTGCAGTTCTCGCGTTGCAGTATAAATAGCGCTACTCTATACATGACATATTTTGCGCTATGTGCACAATTATATGATGTGCAGTTCTCGCGTTGCAGTATAAATACCGCTACTCTATACATGACATATTTTGCGCTTTCCTCGCGCTCGGTTCTATTTGCACAGTTACTTCTCTGCGAAACCGTACGGACGACGAAGCTCATACGGCTGACTGCTGTGTCCTCTCTGCACTGCGGTGAAGAAATGATGCAGTCAGCCACACTAGGTCAATCGTCAGGAGCCTATACTGTTTTTATTCGAAGGCTAAACAGAGAAAGCTGAGTACAAGTGAATGAAACCCAACTGGCGCTAACTGCTAGACAACTAACGGGATATCGGGTTCAAGGCAAGCACTAGAAAGGATCACGCCCCAACAAAGGCACGGTGCACACCAAAAGAGTCTTGTCTTTTGGCTGTTTCTTGTGATGTGCAAAAAGCTAATGGGTTTGCCGGTGGTGGCCCCTCACCGAATGACGACGCGAACGCGTTCTGCTTTGGGGGCGTCTGCTGCCTCCTGCTGCGGAGCTGCAGCAGGTGCGGCCTCCATTTTCAAACAATAAGGCGAAGCAAGGCAAATGTGGCTTAAATACCGTAGTACAAACACGCCAGCTGATAACAGGCAAGCGGCAGATAGGCACGAAGTGGAGTTCAACAATGCCTACAAATACAACCGGAAAGAAAGATGCAACGATTCATAGTATCACCTGCCTCCTAAAACACAAGCAAAAAGTTAAATAGACAGATTTGTTTAATCGGGATTTTTTAAATGCATTACGCTTGTCTCACAGTACATTTGAGTTTCACAGGACCACCGGTGGGGCCCAGCCCCTGCGGGGTACGGAGGGACGGGATTTGCCGTACTCACGCAAGTATGCATGCCTATATATTTTGTTTTTTCCGGTTTTATTTTGATGGTTTTACAAGAGATTTACCATACTAAGGGGCTTTTGACTGTTTAGGATAGAACTTGCTGTCGGTACGGGCTCGTACTGCCTGTGGGAGGCCCCCCTTGTCGCCGTTGTGTTCAGTTTCCTTCCACCATGCAGCATGCAGAAGATCAGTCAGTGAGCGCAGTTCTTGCAGTTGACGAGGCTTCTGCCGCTTCCAGCACACCCGGCCTACAAGTAGAGGAAGCAGCAGCGACGGTAGCAGCCGCACCACCAGCAGCAGCTGCTGCCGTTGCATGCGAGCAGCCACAGAACAGCCAGAAAGGAGGAGGACCTGCAACTGAGGCGACAGCAGCAGAAGGGGGGCCTCTAGACATCCAATTTGCAGCAGGGGCCCCTTCGGCAGCAGCAGGAGATACAGCTGCGTCCGAAACGACAGCAGCAGCAGGAGGGAAAGCAGCTGCGGAACCCTCCACTGAAATTAGAGGTGATTGCGACACTACAATTCAAAAAGATGTTGCTCCTGCACATACACTGGATGCGCGCAGCGAAGCTGCAACGCCTCTGATCTGCTCAGAGGAAGCAGTAGATGCAGCAGGGACGACAGAGGAAACGGAGAGTCAGCTGCCTTCTGAGGCACACCAAGCCATCCCCATACGCATGGGGAGACAGACGTGGCGACCACGGGGCCAGCGGCTGAGCTTTGGCCGCCTGTGCAAAGGCAACGCTGCACCGGGGGGGTGCGCAGGCAACAGCTCAGCGGCAAAGAAGCGTTGGGAGCACCAGCAGCAACAAAAACAAGTTGCGCGAGAAGCACGTGAAGCCGAGAAACAAGCACGAGCAGTGAAGGAGAAGATCCGACTGCAGCGCCGCAAACAAAGGGAGGCCAAGAAGCAACGGAAGAAAGAAAATGAGATGAAGAGCGCCAAAGTGCAAGTCATTAAAAATACCACAAAAATCAAGAAGTGGAGAAAGCAAGCCAGAAGACAACTCGTCAAAATGTCACCCGAAATGATTCGGAATCTGTACGGAGTACAGATATGACGAAATGCGTTCAAGGCCTTCCTTTTTTTTCTTCTTCACTTACCCGTGAAGTCTCCCCTCAACTCTCCAACTTTATTTTTAAGCGATGCTCGGACTGCTGTGCACACCTAGCGTCTGTATATATATATATATATATATATATATATATATATATATATATATATATATATATATATATAATATAT